GGTTTTTGTTGTTTTGTTTTTTGTTTGTTTTTTTTTTAATAAAAAGATCAGATGTTGTGCTTCCTCGAAAACACGACAATCTATGGGAGAGGTCATTAGTTTATGGCAAGTTACAACACTGTGGAGCTCAGCTGAAAGCAAACGTTATTGCAAAGAGTTATCACTAAGGGGAGAGGAAAATAATGTCCTGAGGAAATAAACTCGACAGAGCAAAACATGGAACAATATAAAGCTGTGGAGGACAGGCAGTAGAGCTGAATACTTTCTCAGAATAAAAGCCCCTACTCACCCGTTTTTAATGCCAATGTTTGCTTTCTGCATATTCAGTGAATATGTGGGATACATCTGTTCAGGACTCCACCTCTAATGGGAGTCACAAGTATCATGATTGCAGCTGGCTGAACTTTTTTACTACTAGTACACAAAAATGTCTTTGTGACCAAAGTGGTAATACCAGTAAAAATCAGCTGCTTTTTTTAAATTATTATTTTGTTTAATAGCGTGGTTTAATTTCAAGTTCCATGGAATCACATTTCAAAAAGGACTTTCTTCCACAAAGCCCCCCACTAAAATACAGATTTGAGCAGCTTTAATGATGATCAGCCTGTCTCAAGTGTGAGCGAAGCTGGAGATGCAAGGGGAGAGGAAATGCCCGCTTTCATAAATCTGACCTAGCTGTACACTGCCAGCTTTCTTAGCCTTCAGTTAGTCTAACTCACACTGAGGGATGAAACTGTAGTATCAGGTTTGGAGAAGCATAAAGGTGAATTCAAAATAATCGATCACTTGCCTTTCTGAGTCTCATGCCACTTGCAACACTGCAGAGGATTCCAGTTTTGCATTGTCAGGGTTTTTCTTGTGCTTGCCCCTTTTGTTTCCCAGCTGGAGAATTTGTTGCACCTTTGTTCTTATTTAGCCTCATGGTAGGATGCACAAGTTTCTCTTCAGGCAGTGGGATGCTGTGCCTGCTCCCAGCCCAGCTGCCTACACCCAGACAACGTGGGGACCTTGCAGCCTCTTGCTTTGTTTTGAGGGTGATGATTTCTTCCTTGATGTTTTGGCCATCTTAATGCAAAACCAAAGCAAAATATGGTGCTACTTGAGAAGAACTGTCATAACCAACCCTGCAGCCATGTGTCCTGGGGCGGGCAGCACCCACCTCCACGTGCTGCATAGCCTGGGAGAAGAGGTCTGCTCCACTGCTCCGGCTCAGCCTCGGACCTGCAAAGTCCCTTTTTGCAAATGGTGCCTATGAAATTGAGGGTGACTCTTCCCTCATCATCTTCCTTCCCTCATCCTCTCAGCAGCTCAGGTTTCACCCCATGTTCCTGAATTGTGTGTATGTTGGTGTTGGGGTGCAATGGTGATGGTGTTGAGGAGTGGGCTGGTGTTCTGGTGGCAGTACAACCCCTGGTTTTAGCTCTGGTGACCTTAGAAATAAGAGGCCAACTTCTTGAACGAGCTGCCTGAGGAGCCTGGGATAGGTCAGAGATTTCTTGAGCAGATCAAAAGCCAGAGATGTTTTTCTGACAGCTCTGCAGCTCCCTGTCATGATTTATGAATTATATACGCTCTATATGTTTAGCTGAAGAGGCTCACTGGGGGAACGGGGGCTAGTTTGTGCAAGCAGGAAAGAGCATGTGGCTTCAGAGAGCCACCATCTACCAAGAGATACCCCCTCAAATTTGCTCTCTGCAGAGCCATCAAAGTGCCTTGAGAGACCCTGGCAAAGGGAGCCCAGGAGACTCTCAGCAAAAAATATCAGGTTATTTTAGCGGGACAGCATTTTAATGGGAGACTGAGTTACGGGGAAGCAGACCCAAGCCCCAGGAGCTGGGAGCTCTGGACTCTGGGCAGCAGACCTGCAACCTTCCCCTGTTGCACAAATCCTCTTTCTCTTTCTTTGGAGCTTCAGCAGATCCCATGGGGTACAGCTCTCCCTTGGTAAGTGCTACGTGCCCTGGCAGATTTTGAGTTTCATGTCCTCTTTTGGAGGTTGGATGCCCAAAGGCACTCTGCTGGGCTCCTGGGGCTCTTCATGCCCTGAGAGCTGTCATCACACCAGTGACACTTAGCTCACGTTCTCGAGGTTGTCTCAACAGCTCAGCAAGTTGTGGTGCTTTTTTTTCTCCTCTCCATGAGACAAGATTTTGCTTGGCCCCATGCTTGTGTGGCCTGACCTGAGCCCTATTCCTGACAGACAGAGCACGAGGGAGACTTTCCCAATTCTGATGCAAAACAGGGCAGGAAAATTCCTAATTAATAACTTTAAGGCCAGAGTGTTTCCATGTGCACAATACAATAATCCCTATATCATGTCCGTAACTTCTAGGTTATAGTCTACTGAGCAGATAGTCTTGCAGTCATTGAAGGGTTTTGAGCAACAAAAATCCACCACATCCTGACCCTGAATAATTACCTGCTGGAACAACTTTACTGTGTTGTGCTCTATCACAAAAGCACCTGGTTTCAGCTTCCAGCATGTAAATCTTGTTTTTCCTCTGTCCCACAGAAGAGGAAGCCCTCTGCCAGAAAGCATCTCTCCGGGACCTGGTTATAGATGATGATTAGCTCACTTCCCAACTCTCCCCTGGCCAAACTAAAGACACCAAAAGCCTTCAGCCCCCCTACTGTAAAACAGGTTTTCCAATCCTGAATGATTCTTGTATTTTTTTTGTTCTGGGCTAGGTAAGTTCAGAACTGTGCTGACTCTCTGCCTTGGAAGGACTCCTTCCTTCCCTGTGTGAGGGTTTGCGTTAGCAGTGATGCAACTAACAGCTCCTGTCCGCACCTTCTGCTGAGAAATCCATGTAAAAATGCTGCCCTCCAGCAGCCTCTGCCACTGGGGAGAAGTTTAAGGGTAGATATTTTGAAGCCTTGCTAGGGCTGGCCAGGGAGAATTAGGGAAATCCAGTAGCTGAAATTTCAGTGGTCTGTCAGACGACAGTCCTTTTTTCCACCATGTATGGATGAAAGCACTCAGATGTGCTGTCTGATGACCACTCAACCATGTTGGCAATTAAAGAGGTAGAGACAAGCAGTGTGGAGCACAAACTGGGGTCTCTGTTGCCCCAGGGTAAGCAGCAAAGTCCCTACGGATGCTCAGCTGGCCTCGAGGGAGTTATTCCGGGATACCCAAGATGCAATCCAGGTCATGTTCTCTATGGCAAGTCTGAAATCTCTGTGCTAAGAGGAGCGACTTTGCTGCTGTCACCAAGCCAGTGCTGCCACTCATTAAAGAGTGGCTGGATGAGTGGTGGGATTTGTTGCTTGAAGAACTAACTGAACATGTATCTTCTGTCATTTTGGGGCACTTGCTCTTCCCTTCTCTCTCTAATGTCAATGCAAAGTGGGCTCCCATGCTACTTTCACTGTCTCAGAATGGGTATATGGTCATCCTTAACATAATTCGCAAGGGAAGAGGATGTAACCCCAGAAAACATCTATCATTGTTGAGCTGAATCAGTGAGAGTGAGCCTTGGTTTATTTTTTTTTCCCCACACAGAGGCAAATTTTGTCATCATATCACTCACGTAACCTTTCAGATGAACTTAGTAATCATGATATGTTTTGGTTTGGCTTCTTTCAGATTAAAACCTTGCCTTTCAGAAAAAGGAAACCATAAGTTAAATAACTCCAAAATTAGGTATTTCTGAAGGATAATTAGTGGTCTTCTTTCTTACCAAAACCAACCCAAGTCTGTGCTTTAAATAATGCCTTGTAGTAATTCCTTCAGTTCTGCCCCAAATGCGATTAATTTAGCAGGATGTTATCGATATAACATCCTACATTTCAAACCACATTTTAGGATATTATCTACAACACTGAATACTATATACCTCTGCAACTTTTGAAAAATGAACCAGACCTATGCCCTAAATCCCTCCATCCAGGTCTCTCTGCTTCAACAGTTGCACCAAGGGTTGTATTTGCCTACACACAAATTACCAACCGATCATATTCTTCCATTCACTACTCCTGTAGATAGGGGGACCCATGTAAAATGAATGCAGATACAGATCCCTGCCTCCAGTTATTTCATTTGGATGCAAAAACACTGGAATTATAATCTTCCTACTTTATCGCTTTGAGCAAAAGCAATTTTAGTTGCATTGGAATTTCTATAGCAAAGGGAACGAGTCTGTGTTTGTATAAGAGTGCACTGGAAAAAGTGCCATTGTCTGTGCAAATATATAAATATATACACTGTAGGGATATATGTGTGTATACACATACATAGGCACTGTATATCCAGAAAGACACACACACATACTTAGGAGATGCGTATATAACACTCACTTATACACAAATATATTCCCTGTCATGAAACAATCATCAAGATATAAACACGAGAAGTTAAACCATGGATGGGCATATTTTCAAGTGCTGCTGGAGGGTTTTATCTACAGTATTGAAGAAGTGCTATCAAAACCTAAACAGGGCACTTATTACAAAGAAATCTTTACGTAAGTGCTGGAAAAGTTTGTCGAATAACCAGATGTTGTTGCAGAGACACTTCTCCTCCCCCTCTCCCCACTTCTTTCCTTCTTTAATAGTCCGATTAATTCTGCACATAAACCAGGGCAGATAAAAGTTCTAAGCTGCAAACTTCACCACATCTGGACACTGTCGAAGCCAGATCATTCAGCGGTGCACTTCAGTTGCTTTTAATCTTCTTCAATAAAATAAAAACTTCCAACAAGTAATGCTGACCTATATATATTTTTGCACTGTAAACACTGACATCTGCGAGCTGCTCCAAGCGAGCACGCAGCACTTTCCACCAAGGCAAACGCTCACCCTTCGCCATAAGAGAAATACACAGCTGATGCAGTCAGAGCAGTGTATTCTACTAAATTCTCAGCTATTTCCAATCCTCCAGCTAATTGCTGTCAGGGGAGAAATCAAAGATTATCTGTTTTGCTGGAGGAAGGAGAAATAAACGACCTCTCAGAGTATATTGCTTAACGTTGCCTGACCAGAAACATTTTTCTACTCACAGAAGGAGAGCAGCAGTAAGGAAAGCAGACCCGGTCTCCTCCAGTAACCCATTTTCTGGATCCTGCCAGTGACCAGAAGCCCGGCTTCACAATGTTGACCACTTCATCTTCCTTCGGTGCAGCCAGTCTCCTGCGTCGCTGCTGTCAAGCCCGGAGCCCCGAGTTTGTGAGGCTCCCGGCGAGGCTTGCCGGGAAGGCGGATCCAGCCGCTCAAGCCCAGCTGTGTGTGGGGTCCGCCCAGGAACTGCAGTTTATGAACAAACTAAGCCTGACTTCTCCTCTTGAAATATATACAAATATGGGAGGGGGGAGCTGGGGGAAGAAGAATGGCTCTGAGAAAAAGTTGGATTTTTTTTTTTCCCCGATGACAACGTGTTGCTGCTCCTGGTTCCGAATGGCCCAAGGATCTTTGAAGGGGACCTAATGTCTACTGCATACATCTAATCAAAAAGGCATGGGTCCTCCTGCATGCCTCTTTCGTCTGAATAAAACACGGAAGGTAACTCTTCAATATGCTGAGCTGCCATTAATTCACTGCTTTCTTCCTCCTTTTAGAAATTAACGCTATCTTTTAAGTAACCTTCAATGGGCTATATTTTTAATAGGCATAATTAGAAGTTTTAGGGCAGCTTTTTCAGAAAGACCACATCAATATGAGCTTAGCCTAAAGTAGGTGCTTTCGACCCATTAAAGCAGCAGGGTTTAAACATATATGTTTTCCTGAATCAGGGCCTAAAATAATAACATAGAGCATTTAAATAGCTGCTTTCTCCCCAAGATCTCAAACTGCTTTACAAAAACTTGTAAGAAATATTATCCCACTTACAAAAGGGAAACTGTGAAACGTAGCAGAAATCTGACTTGCCCTGGTTGTTAACACAATCAATCACTGGCAAAAGGAGGAGTAAAATCCTCAAACTTTTGCCGTATGATCTACCCCAATCCTTCAGATTGCATTAAAATAATGATCAATGTAATAGCATGTGGCAGAGAAAGAGATGTTGTTATTAAGGCTTTTTGCAGCCAAAATACCTGCCCTAAGGTGAGGCTATTTTTTTATAGTCATTGATAAATACATCGATTAATTTTTAATGCATACTCAGCATTCTAATTCAGTGAATCTACAGCTTTCTATTTACCCATTTTACAACTAATCTTTGAGTTCATTATTGAGCGTGTGGTGGATACGTGGTGTATCTGTATATGCTTATGTGTATGTGTGATCATTACTGGTGAATGTTTTGTGCCGTTGGACTTGGAGGTCCTTTCTTTGTATGAATCTTTCCAATAAACTGCACCCACTCGTTTTGTAAACTATTTATATAAATTATTCTGTTAGGGAGTAAAATAATGGTATCTCTTTCCTCCTGTTTTTCAGAAGAAAAAAGGGGAGGTGTTAGATGAGGTACAGACACAGATGATAAACATCCATTGGGTAACAGAGCACTGGAACAGGCTGCCCAGGGAGGTTGTGGAGTCTCCTTCTCTGGAGACATTCAAGACCCGCCTGGACGCCTTCCTGTGTGATCTCATTTAGGTTCCTGCTCCGGCAGGGGGATTGGACTAGATGATCTTTTGAGGTCTCTTCCAATCCCTAACATTCTGTGATTCTGTGATCCAGTGACTCTCCTATGGCATGGCTATACAAGCATGCCTCTGCAGAGAATTGCTTGGTCTGTTCCAACTTGCTTTAGGGTGCCCAGACACAAACCAGCTTAGCCTGTCCACCTTAGCCTGTCCTCCACGCAGAAATGTCCATATGTCCCTGTGATAACAGCGCAGAAAGCTGGGTAGATGCCCTAAGGTAAGATACCACCTGGAGTACACAGAGAATGTATCTGGAAGGGTGAGTCTAGAAAGGTCTGCCTGATCAGGGGAGCTGCCTCTGGCTCACAGCCCTGGAGGACATCAGCTTGAGCCCTAAGCAAGGTGCAACACTGCTCTCCCTTGCTTGACTGTCTTTACATCAAGCTGGGCATCTTTCTACGTTCTATGTAGTATTTATCAAGAAGAGATGGGTTGGTCTGAATTACAACAGCTGAGGTATGGCCTTTGAGGGCTAAGGACGAGCAAATGCTTAGCAAAGTTTCAGAAAGACATTATTTTCCAATAAGTTATTGAAACTGCTGTGTGCACAGCGGTTTCTTTGGGTGACCTGCCAACTCTCCTCTTTCTCATTCAGAGCATTTCAAAATGCCTGCAGATCGTTCAGACTGCCAGTTGGATTTTCAGATGTGAGCCCTTCAGTGTGTTACAAGACAGCTGGATAAGCCTTGTGTTAGGAACATCGCAGATTATTCATGATCCATGGGAGCCCTCTTTAAAATCAGGAAGAATCCCCCGCTGCCTATGAAACTTGGAGAGGAATAATGTCCCCAGCAGGAGCCCGGAGGGGCTTTAAACAATGGTGGACATTGACAAAACATGCTATATGACTTGGAAGTGCAAGGGAAACAAGGGATATTTTTTTTTTAGTGGCAGAACCTGGGAAGGCAGCAGGAAGCCTGCACAACATCCCTGCTGCCAGGGACCCCAAACCGCAGGAGATATGCTTTCCAAAAACCCAGGCAATCTCAAACAACTTCTGGGCCAAACTGAACCCTGTAAAATTCTTCATTCTGTCTGCAGAATAATCACTGAAAGGAGAGGAAAGGCAGTGGCTGCCCCATGCAACGGCATCTTTACAAGGCAGTTGGGTTTCTACAGGAAGCTCTGCAAGGGGAAGCTTTTCGGCAGCAATGTTTGTCCTGCTCTTCCTAAACAGCTGTACTTATTTCTAGATGCTGTTAGACCTGCTGCTTGGTAAAACATGGTGTTGTGGTGACATGGGTGAGGTTTGCTTTCATAAACTGGCCTCTGGGCTCTGCAGGCTGCTTTCAGCACAGAGGGAACTTCTCTGTTCGGCCCTTGCTGCGCCTAAGTTTGCACAGAGGTAGATGTACCCTTCTGTAACCTGCATTTTCAGTCCACTGAGCTGAGGCTATTGGAAGCAAACCTCATCTGCAAAACAGGAAGAACGTGAGGCTGGGAGCTTGTTTCTTTCCTAATGCTATGATGTGAGTCCTTCCAGATTGAGTGGGGAGCCACGCAGCACGTGCCCCACTGACCTGGGCTTTTCTCTGGCCAACAGCTCCGTTCTACTGCCCCTGCTTATTTCTCAGACCTTATTCAAGGAGAAAATGCAAACTAAAAATCCACCAGAGTTACTCAGGGAAAAGTGAGGAAGAACTCTGGGATTTAGCCGAAAGTGTCTAAACTCACATTACAGAGCTTTTCTTCCACAAGAGAACACAGTGACCTTTGGAGTAAGACACTGGGGAGTACGAAGAGATAAATGGTTATTTTTATTGTTGACTTGTTTATGCCTTTTGGTGTAAATTCCCCTGTTCCTCTATTAGTGGTCTGGACAACCTCATAACTCAAGACACACTGAAGGCTGGATTTAGGCTGAGGAACGTAAGGTCTCTGCAGGGTGATTTTTAAGTTGCATCGTGGGAGCAGTTTTCCCAAAGTTCTCGTTTAGGAGTTGGAAGATGTTTACTAGAGAAGTAAAATAAAACTTTGGCCACCTGAAACAATATAGCATATCTTTAAACAAAGGTTTCCAACAGCCTGTGTTTCCACAGTGGCAGGCAAGGCTCTGCAATCACTCAGTAGATTTGAAGCTCCCAATGTATGCACCGAACACCCTTGTGCAGAGTAACATCATGATGGACATGTGCCAGACCCAGGTGAGTCAAACCTCTTATTCTTCCCAAGGGCAAAGAACACCTTCATGTGACAGGGGACATGAAGGGAGAGAAGGGGAATAAGGGAACCATGTAGCCATGCTCTGGATAGGGCTAACGCAAAGGCCAATGCTCCTGAGCTTCCCTGGACCTCCTCTGTGCCCACTAGACACCAGAGAACATTGCTATGGGGCATTGGGTTTAAAATAACTGATGACATCAAAAGGTGAGGGGTTCACTTCTGCATCAGAAGATGTTCCCTTGGCCCTCTGGATTTCTTGCACGCTACAGATCTGTTGCATCTGCTTTATTCCTTTTAACCTGTTGGCATCAGCAGTGATGTTGAGCTTCAGATAAAGTCTACGAGTGTTCTGTTGCGAAGAGGATTTGTCTTATGCTTCAAAGTTTTACAAGGCAGGTCTGAGGAAAATGGTGAACTGATAGGATCATGGACAGGATAGGATCACTAATAGCTTCTATTAGTGAGCACAAATCCATATTCTTAATTTATGTGCACGTATTGCATGGTTGTATTGAACTACTTCCAAGTTGTCCTGGCAGTTCGAGAATTTCAGTGTCATCACTTCTGCATCTTATAAGCACAGCCTTGGTTTCACCGTGCCATCAGCAATAGTCACCTGAGAAGGACGTGCACCCTGCACTGTGGATCTGATCCAGCTGCTGTCTCCATCCTCTGTTCACAAGTACACTGGCTCCAGTCCTGGGATGGTCCAATAAATTTGAACACAATTGCCTGGTGGGGTCTGAGGGTGTCCATCTCTCTCTGGGAAAAGTTCTCATTACCTTCCTGCTGTCACCGTTTCACAGTGTTGTGGTGTTTGTTTGAGCTCGTGTAAGTAGGGCTATGGTTTGTGTTCCCTGATGTCACCTATGAGAAAATACCATGACTTGACCTTTGGCATTTTCCATCCTCTTGCTGCAGCTCGTCCCAGGGATGATGTGGTAACCTTTGATGGTCAGATAGCATGAGGAGTGCAATCAAAGCCAGCACTGTGTCCTGAGGGACACAGCTACACCTCCTTTGGGCACAGGTGGCCTTGTCTGCATTGCCACAACCACTTCTCCTTAGCCCTGTCAACTCCCCGTGTTCCCGCATCTCAGCTGATGCTCATTTTATAGCCACACAGGATAAATGCATTTTCTAAGTGATGTGTGACTTTTATTGGAGTCTTTCCGTAGTCCAGAAACACTGGCCCAACTTCTAATTTCTCTCAGACTGTGTGCAACAGGCTCCTTGACCAAAGCTGCATCAAGATTAAGCAAAGGCCTCATTTGCCCATCTCCACCATTTTAAATGTTAGAGTTGGGCCTTTTTCCTGTTCAGTTCTGTCCCAAATCTTCTTGCTTTCTCCCTATGAAGTTTTGAGTTTTTCTCATTGATCTCTTTTTGCTGCTTTTGAAGCCACTTTCAGTAAAAATTTATTCATACTATTGATGTGCTTGTACAGATTCTTTCAAAACTATGGATTAGTTTTGGCTGCCTAGTTTGTATGCATAAATCCAGCTCTGCCTTTGCTGAAACAGATGGAAACCACTGCTACCAATTTCAGCCAGAGTGGGACC